ATCACTTGTTTGTATTCCTTGAATATTATACGGCTTTTCGGTAAATATTGACGACCTATCGCTGTCCTTCGAGTTATATTTTGAATTTAACCGAATTGAATGCTGAGCTCGACATTTATTTTCGTACCGAGAATATTATTATTCACGCGTCTTATCGTTTCGGGAATATTATAGTGCCGGTTAGACCTTCGACTCTCGGCGTGTTGACATTTCCCGCCCTGGCACGTATTTTGAATTAGCGTGAGTCTTGAGTTTTGAAATCGACATACGCGGTTTGCCATAACATCCGCGATTCGAGTCGGATATTAAATAAAATTGTTAAGATTTAATCGCGAGATTAATAACGACCTCCTGTCCTGGAATTATTTTTCGCTTGTTTATTAATTTTTTTCGGGAGTCCGCGTACACCTACAGTAAACCGGAGTCAATCTTAGTTCAAATTATGGCAACTTCGGCCGAATTCACGGAAGAGGCTATTGATGCCATGAGCCGTGACCAACTAGTGGAATCCCTTGAGCGATTCGGACTATCCACCGAGGGTTCGGAGCGCATTCTCGGGGCCCGGTTGCTAATACACGTGCACCGATCCTCGTTTAACTCGACCGCATTCGACGAGGAGGCCGAGCCCGCGCCTCGACGGCTAGAGGTGCCCGCGGCACAACATAGTGCGGATAGCCCCATGATGTGTTCTCGACTGTCGGAGGGNACTGCGCGTACCCCTCGAGGACTGCGTACTCCGCGTGCAGGGAATGATTTTTCCACCGAGTCCTATCGTACGCGAGCTGAGACTACTTCCGCCTACAACACACTGCGGAAGTGGAACCTGAAATTTTCGGGCTCGCGCGAAGAAGACGCCGAAACTTTCTTATTACGGATCGAAGAAGGTCGCGATGTTATTCCCGTGTCGGACGAAGATATCATCCGTTGTATGCCATTCTTCTTGACCGATCTCGCCCTACATTGGTTTCGTAGTCGGCGGTCGCGTTTTACCTCTTGGGAAGCCTTTAAAACCGCGTGGCGTACGAAATTTGGGAGTCGAGATTTCCAGTTCACCTTGAAGAACGAAATAACAAACCGCACGCAAGGTGAACATAAGCCTGTGTCAGATTACCTCATCTGCATGAACGCGATGTTCGATCGGCTCTCACCCCCGTGGTCGGAGGAAGAAAAGCTGGATTACGCGTATCGAAACATGTTGCGGCGATTGCGAATCGTCATAAACCGCGACAGTATCGAGGACATGGACATGCTCGAGCTGTTGGCCACGCGGGCCGAGGACTCGTATGAGGCCGAACAGAGATATCGTCCACCTCCCACACCAGAGAAATCCTTGTTCCCCGATCTTGCGTACCGACCACCGAAAAACGTGGGGAAAAGTCCGCGTGGTAAAACCGCGGTAGCCGCGCTGGGTGTCAGTGGGGAAACGACCCGGGTTACACCCCGTAAAACGGCGAAACCGACCGAAAAAGACGCGAAAGAGGAACCGAAGCAAAACACGCCCCGTACTTCCCATGCCGCCAGCATGAAATGCTGGAATTGTGATAAGACCGGCAATTTATCTCGCGATTGCACCGAAGAACCGCGAATCCATTGTTACCGCTGCGGTAAAACCGAGGTCACGACCAAGACGTGCCCGAAATGCTCAGGAAACGAATAAAAGAGTCGAGCCGGAGGGGAAGCTCGACTCTCGCGAACAAGATAACCCCCCAGTCGTCCGGAAAATCTAACCTAATAGACGTCTCGTTGAGCGCATTTANCTGCCGACATTCCGTCTCGCTATTATTTTTGCGCGTGCAAATTGCGGGTCGCGAGATCANGGGGTTGGTGGATTCTGGGTCGAGTCGAACCTTTTTAGGACCAACAGCGATCGCGATGTTAGCCGAAGAAATAGATCGTTCGGGCTCGGTTAACCGTCCGGCCCAAGGACGGCGCGTAACAACTGCTACAGGACAGATTAGTCGAGTCAAGGCCGAGGTTACCGTTTACCGTACAGAAGGAAACGAGGTCAATTAGAGCGTGTTGTTTGCCCACTTTAGCCCTGTCTTGCATCTTAGGCCTAGATTTTATCTCGTCCTTCGGAATCGTAATCGATTTTGCGAAGAAAACGTGGTATTTTTCGCAGCAATCTAATAAAAAGTTTAATTTCGAGTCCGCCCCCGCGGACGCTTTCGTATCGGTGGGAGACACTTCCGTTGCCATAGCGGAAATCAACGATTTATTAAAAGAACGGGAAATAAAATTTCGCGACACACCGATCGCTCCAATTACCACCGCTTTAGGCGAAGGGCCTGCGGAATCCTGCGAAAAGTTTCCACCGCGCAAGGAAACAAAATCGAAACGAGTTCGCGTAAAACCCAAGCGATATAAAAATCCGATCGGGTCAGCAATGTGCTGTGGCCTTAGCGAGCTAACCGAAAACGAACAGTCTCGTCTCGACAAATTTCTCAAGAAAGAAATCACGGGAGATCCGGAAAAACCCGCCGCGACAACATTAACCGAGCATCGCATTGATGTGGGAGGGCACCCACCCATTAAACAAAGATATTACCCGGTATCCCCGAAAATTCANGAAGCGATAAACAACGAAGTTAACAAAATGTTAGAGGCGGGAATAATCGAGCCATCAAAAAGTGAATGGTCAACNCCCATAGTCATGATAAAGAAACCCAACGGAAAATATAGATTTTGTCTCGATTTCAGAAAATTAAATAACGTATCGAAAAAGGATGCGTACCCGCTACCTTATATGAATTCGATTTTAGACAAATTACGATCGGCGCAGTATATTTCGACGATTGATTTGAGTCAGGCGTATTTTCAGATTCCGCTGGAGAAAAATAGCCGCGAATTGACAGCTTTTACCGTACCGGGCCGAGGCTTGTTTCATTTTACGCGAATGCCGTATGGCTTAACCGGCGCCCCTGACACCTTTCAAAGATTACACAGCCACACAAAAAAAAAAAATTTCTTTGGCCTGGGGATCAGACCATGTTTATTATATGTTTTTGGGGTCGCTGAATCCGAATCCGAGGTCCATTAAACCCCATCGGGTCGGAGTTCCGTCATAACCTCAAAAAACACCATAATCTGAGCTCGAAACCCGAAAGTTGGCTTATTCCTGTGCCTGCCATAACGGCATGAAACCCGTAATCCAGGGACTCAGCCGGATAGCGGTACAACTCCGTTGCCCGCCGTCACCGCGTGGAG